AGCAGAGGAGGGGCAGAGAGAGAGAGAGAGAGGGAATCCCAAACAGGCTCCCTGCTGTTAGCATGGAGCTCCATATGGGGCTCAAACCCACGAACCCATGAAATCAAGACCTGAGCTGAAACCAAGAATGGGACACTGAACTGACTAAGCCACCCAGGTACCCAGTGAGTTTGCATTTTAGAGAAGAGTCAACAGAAGAATATCAATGAAAAAAGTTTTGCTTAATATAAATATATTACATAATATAACATAATATAATATAATACAATACAATATAATATAGTATAATATAATTAATATAATATAATATAGTATAATATAATATAATTTCAGGAAATCTTTAGTAGCACTTTTCTAAAAGGGAAGCTCTGAATAGTCTTGGATTCATTTTTCCATCCATTTTCATCTTATAAATCTTCATAAAACCGACAAATAGCATTCTTCCCCATTCTCCCTCCTTTTGCCGCCCCAGGTCAGCCCAGTCTATTAGCTCCTGCCTCCACTCCAGCACTGATCTCATCTCTGTGCTTATCTGGTTTCATTAAAACTATGGACCCTTCTCTAAGAATAATTAAAACATCTTCACATAAGGACAAGATGCTTTTCTTAAATCCTACCTCTAAAGTCATCTCATTTATTACATGGGAGTATCAAAGCTGATGGAAGAGACAAGAACACTGTCTCCAATAAAACGTGGGGTGGTGGGAAGTGTCACTTTTAAGATCCACAAAGCAGAAGGTCTCTCACAGAACATCTGATCCAGATTTTGATAGATATCCCGGTTTCTACTTATTTTGATGGGAAAGAAACCAATCTCTCCTAATCTATGAAAATTTAAATATACTTGGTTTTGATCTTCCTTTGAGATGTTTTTCTTAGTCTTACTATGAAAAGATTGATTAAGTAGTTCTTTAATATAGACTTTGGTAATAATAAAACACTTAATTCTGGGGTGAAAACCGATAACAAATTGCTTGTAAAACCAGTTTTAATTAAAGATGACCGCGGCTGTCAGAGCCATTTAGTTTGTGCGTGGCATAATATGACACGGATGGATCATTTTTCGTATTCTTTCTTGTTTGTCTGAGGCTAATTTTAAGTTGCTTTGGATCTTTGGAAGCACACACATTAATTCCTTGAATATCATAGTTAATCAATAAATGTTTGTTAATTGACTCTGGTTTATAAGTGTATTTATTAATGGCATATTTCATTGCTGAACATTTACTGAGTATCCATATGTGAAAGCATTGTGCTAGGTGCCTCAGATTTACAGCTGCATCAAGGAACCTTACAACTTAGGTGAGAAGGAGAAGGAAGGCGAAAAACTAATTAAAAATTACTGTGTTAGTTCTACGAGCCAAGATTATGATAGGTGCTTAGAATGTTATCTAATCTTGCCAATGTCCACATGAGGGGGTCGTCATTATTCACAGCCGAACAGGAAGAAACTAAAGCCCAGAAAATGTAATAAGCCTAGTGTCCCACAGGAAGTGTGGGAATTCAACCCAAGCCTGTATTTCTCACTATCGCTAAAGCATGCTGCTGAAGGAAGCCTGTCAGTGAAAGTGCATACAATGTACACGAACAGAGGAGGAATCTGCTTCTCCAAGTTGGCATCATGGAAGAGATAACCATCTGAGAGAAGTCTAGGTTGAAGAGGTTAGTGGTGGTTCATCAAACATTCCTGGACCCACAGTATGATGTGTTCGAGAAAACCACAACTCCGTTCCACACATGGTCATGCAAATAGAAAATTCTGTGGGAGAGTCAGGCTGGGATGGGCCTCACATGATGTGCTATAAAGTCTATACTTCACACGGCAGGCTCTGGAGCGCTGTCTGTGAATAATGTGATCTGATAGAGTTCTAAAAGGGGAATATGGATCAGCATGGACAGGAGGCTGGACTCAGGTTAGCGTGGTGTTCAGGACTCCATGTGGGAGGTCATCAGGGTGCGATGGGGGTGTGAAAAGAGGTGGTGGTAATTAGGAAGGAGAGAGGATGATAACTAGGGGGAAAATAGTTAAGAAATTGAGTAGTGGAACTTTGTGGGCGATTCCTAGTGAGAGTATGAAAAAGTAAAGGTGTGCTCTCTGTGACTTGGGGATTTGGGTATATGTGGTAAGGTCATCACTCAAAAGATGGGAGGGAGGCAGGGGAGCTGCTAATTTCTCTTGTGTACTATCTAATCACTTAAAGAGGTTCTGATGATCAGGGCACCTGGGTGGCTCAGTCGGTGAAGCATCCAACTTAAGTGCAGGTCATGATCTCATGGTTTGTGAGTTCAAGCCCCACATCAGGATTTCTGCTGAGCCTGCTTCAGAGTCTCTGTCCCCCTCTCTCTCTGCCCCTCCCCTGCTCACACTTTGTCTCTCTCTCTTTCTCAAAAGAAACAAGCTTAAGAAAAATTATATTAAAAAAAGACTCTATGACTGATAAAGAATTACTTTCTTTGTCTTGCGCTCAGTATAAAGCTTAGCTTGGCAGGCGCTTGGAAAGCATGATGCTTCTTTATACATATGAGCCTGAGGTTAGAATTTTAGACAGTTGTTGAACCATATTTCATAAATTCATGAATTCATCTCTAAGCAGCTTGGGCTGTATGAAGTATTGCAACAACCTGAGGAGAGAATGATCTAATAATATATATGAGGGAGCCTAATCAAGCATCTGTCTACTTCCTCATGTCTCAGTGCTACAATTGATGAGTAAATCTAAGGATACGTTTGAGGGTCAAAACAAAATGTTGGTCTTATTAATAATAAAGCTAGATTGTGAATGCAAGAGAATAGTCTGTCTTTCTCCCTCTAAAACCTTAGTAAAAATGGCATCTTGGTTTGCCCTCCCTCTTCTGCTGGGGGCAGGCAGGACACCTACGTTGCCCGGCAACCTATAGGGATCTGCCTGGATCCTCCTGCGGACTCTCCTGCTGGCCTCTTCAGAACAGAACATAAATTTATTTAACATCAAGGACACGCTACACCGTCGGCCAACAATGCATTCTCTAATTTATCTCTCGTCATAAATTATGTCTAGCCACGTTTTTCAATATAGCTCAGCAGAAGAAGCTGTAAAGGGAGAACTGATAACAGTGTTCACGCTGTGCCAAATAATATAATGCCAACAAAATTAACCTGCATACGAGTATCGGTTCTGAATATGAATCTTCTTATTAAAATTTCAGAAAGAAATTAAAATATAAATATGAAACACCCTTTTGTTGTGTGTTAAAATGCAAAGAATTAAGCGTGCAAAATTCTTCCCTCCACAGTTTCATATCCATCTTATTTGAAGGTTTGGGGTCGGGGTTCCTCCTCCTGTGGCTTATTTCCGGGCTCTGTTCTGATGGAATGGGGTGAGGCTC